ATAGGAGTAGTATGTAAAATTAGTAAATTCGGGAGTAGTAATATTGGAAGTATTTTATAATAAGATAAGTGTAATAATATATAAATATGACAGCAATAATATGTAAAAGTAGTAATATATAGGAGTAGTAACATGTAAAAGTAGTAAATACAAGAGTAGTAATATTGAGAATCTATTAGGATAAGATAAGCATAATAATTTATAAATATGACAGCAATAATATGTTAAAGTAGCAATATATAGGACCAGTAATATGTAAAAGTAGCAAATACGAGAACATAAATATGTAAAAGTAGCAAATACGAGAGTAGAAATATCGGAAGTCTTTTTAAAGCATGTAAAACTTTAAATTTTTTAAAATATCATTAACGTTTTACAAAAAATCGAATGTTCGGTCAAAAAGAGTATTTCATAGAGTAACTGTCAAGTGAAAATGTTTTCACATTTTAGAAGATCTACGCTGCATTGCGCTATTATTAGGCGAAGAAGAAGCGAGTGAAAAAGGGAACATTGTTTTGCTGTTCATAAAATATTAAAGAAGAGAAAAGTTCGTGGAAGATATCGGACAATGTTCGAATAACTAATGGACGATGAAGAAAAGTTCTTCCAATGCAAAACTTCAGGATTCTGCCTGAACTAAATGCAGTACATCAAGCGAAACATTGTTTTCAATGGTGCCGGTCGTCGTATGTTTAAAACAGATCGCGTTCGAACCAATCCGCCACGCTATGCGTGTATAAACATCTATATGTTAATAATATTTATTTGAAATCGTGCATAACATGAGACACGAAGGGCTTTTAACGGCTTTTAAATGGATATAATTTTTTTATAATTGGGCCAAGCGATCGTAATTATGTCTAGATGTTGGAGAGATTAGTTTACTAGACAATGTGGCTGGAAAGTTGTTTTCAAAAATTGCAATCGATTGAAATGGCAGGAAAATCTTGAAACCGCGTTTCGTAGATCTCTAAGTTACCGAGATCAATGAAACGCGTTTTCGAAACGGATGCTGAAAATTTCACCGAAATGTCGACGAGCTATAAAGATCATAAATTATTAAATTAAATTATTATTATTATTAATTTATTATTATTATTATTAAATTATTATTAATTTATTATTATTATTATTAAATTAAAGATCACGAAAATCATTTATCACGATTTTTTNATGTCTAGATGTTGGAGAGATTAGTTTACTAGACAATGTGGCTGGAAAGTTGTTTTCAAAAATTGCAATCGATTGAAATGGCAGGAAAATCTTGAAACCGCGTTTCGTAGATCTCTAAGTTACCGAGATCAATGAAACGCGTTTTCGAAACGGATGCTGAAAATTTCACCGAAATGTCGACGAGCTATAAAGATCATAAATTATTAAATTAAATTATTATTATTATTAATTTATTATTATTATTATTAAATTATTATTAATTTATTATTATTATTATTAAATTATTATTAATTTATTATTATTATTATTAAATTAAAGATCACGAAAATCATTTATCACGATTTTTTACCAATAACTGCCAGAAATCTGCAGATTTTCACATTTTTCAACGCCTGTGGCTGAACACCGCGTAAAATTGCTGCCTTTCCTTCCCATATCGTGCAGAAAAGAAAAAATTAGGCGTATTTATATTCTCCAATAAGATATTTTTCAATTGCTTCAGAATGTTTTTGATTCGTCAATACCGAAAGAATTAGACGGAAGTCTGATTATGTCGCTGGATATTCGGATAATTGGAAGGTGGGGGTTTTGTTCGGCAATTCGGGTGGCTTGTCATTTGTCATTCTGTTTGCGATATAACTCAGGGAACTGGTGAACACGATCGCTGCTGCAAAGTGCATATTCGACGTAGCACTCGATTCGCGTTCCGGTTCAGTAGAAATATCGCTGAGCCTGCAAAATGATTTGTTCCTTTTTTCGGCGGCAATGTCGTTGCGTGCACTACATTTACTCCTCGTACAGTTCAACGCAGCGTCATTTTGACCCGGCATTGGCAGCAGCAGCATCTCTTTCCTCGCTATTAGTTTCTGTAATATGAAACGTCATTCTTTGGTCGGAATTTCCTATCGATTCACTCAATTTACGTATTTTACAAATAATAGAATTCTTCAAAAATATGCTCTGCGTAAACAGAAATTCAATTTTTTAAGACGCCTTGCAAAATTTTAGTTATTTTAATGAACATCGCTCTGGAAATTGTGCTTACTGTTATACAAATATTACTCTCTCTCTCAGAAATTAGTTATAAAAATTTTCTGATATAAGTTTAAATTATAATAGATCTTTAAGAAATTATAACTTTAATTGATTTTAAGTAGAAACTATAATTGAAATTGATTTTAAATAAGCACAATTTTCGCATATGGGGAGATGAAAATCCAAAAATCATTCGAGAAAAATCACTTCATCTAAAAAAAATTACTGTTTGGTGCGGAATCGACATAAGCAATTTTTAACTAGACGGAGCTTTACTTTATTGCGATCGAAATTCAATTGTCGATTAATTTCAAGAAATGGCGATATGGATTGACCACCATTTTCTTTAGGATTATTTGAAAAGCAAAGTTTATACCAACAAATTGGTGAATTAAACGAGCAAATACATCAAAATGTCGTCGAAAATTTCGATACTCGAATTGATATCTGTAAACGTGATCGTGGTGGTTATTTTACTGACTATCATCTTGCACACATAATTTTCATAGGCGATACTTGATAATTAAATGAAAAAGCCACTGAAATTCATAATAGTTCGTTTCCAATTTAAAAAAGAAACTTCCTACAGTCTATATTTTGGATAACCCTGTACAAACAATTTTATAAAGATCTAACGTCCAGTATAACCTCAAAAATTTTCGGAAATGGAAAGTTACATTCTCATTAATACTAATGTATATCATCTCGAACTTTGACTTGATTTCGATCGGTATAAAATACAAATTAAACGATAATAAAAATATAATAAATAATAAAATATTCTCTAATTCAAGTTTTAAGTGCAATGAATCTAGCAAAAAAATCACGGCAAATATATTTTCAGATTACTAACAATTATTCGCGCGTGCAAGCAGTGCCTGACAAACAACCACCCCGATTTATTTACTACGTCGAGCTATCCCTTAAATATCCTCTCACCTGTTGCTGGTCTCCATCTGTCTTGCCCTTGACGACGCTAGTTGATTGCTGTGCTTGAAAAACGACAGGAATAGCACACAATTTATTTCTGACCCTGTCCACGACTGTATTTGGAAATTTATACGAATGCGTCTAGGTCTTGCAGTTTCCAACGCCTAAATAATCGATCGTCGAAATAAAATGCAGGTGTCTGGATTATTCGATATCGGTCTTTTTGAAATTGAAAGTAAAATTTCAAGTTAGCACGATAACAGTAAACAATCGTTATCATTTAATTACACCGGCGACGATGATTATAGCGCAACTCTCTGGTAATTTTCTAAAACGAACGCGATAAATAGACCGCAGATTTTATGCAATTATGATAAAAGAAAGGGTTAGGAGCAGCGAAGATACGTGAGGAATTTCAGAATATCGTTGCGTTACTGTCAATTTATTCGGACTATCAAAATGGGGAATTTTGCATCGGACATCTTGAATTTATTACATTTCATCGAGACATTTCGTAGATTGCGCATACAATCGTGCGGCGCTTCATAAAAGTACTCGCAGCTGCCATAAAATGTTGTCGCTGTCCGGGCTAGAAAACAAACGGAAAATTACGGTTTCACGGATACGGCGTTACAAAAACGTGCAACGAAAAAGATCGAACGTTCGAAACCGTTGAATTCGGCGGACACTTTCACAGCGTCCCGAATTGTTCGGTCCGGTTGTCGACAGACGTTTTAGAAAAAAAAAAAAAAGGAAAAAATGTTCGACCAGCTACGCAACAGAATCGGGGAATCCCGGTTTTGAAACGTCTGTGATGCGTTCCGGGAAAAAATGTGTCGATGGCCATTCTACACATGCGGCCACTGT